CACTATTACAAGAGCTTTCTTGTTCCAAAAAAATGTTCCAAAACAATACTAGGGGAAGCTAGTTTAACTGCTGCTCATCTCATCAATCGGCTTCCTACAAGAGTCCTTGATTTTAAAAGTCCAATGCAGATCCTTACACAGTTCTTTCCTAATTTTCATCTTGTTCCAAAGATATTTGGTTGTGTTGCCTTTGTTCATGTGCATTCTCAAAACAGGGGAAAACTTGATCCTTGAGCTCTCAAATGTGTCTTTCTTGGCTATTCCTCCACCCAAAAGGGCTACAAATGCTATCATCCTCCGACAAGAAGATTTTATGTGTCTGATGATGTTACTTTTGTCAAACAAGATCAGTACTTTAATAGTCCTTATCTTCAGGGGGAGACATCTTTCATAGAAGATAAGGACAAGGATCTTTTTCTCCTTGAGTTTCCAACCCCTATCTCTCATCAATCCGAGTCAAACATACTCCCAAATATTCAATCCGAGCCAAACACACAGTCAGAAGCCGAGCCTCATACACCCAAATCACAAGGAGTGTTATATGGGAAGCAAACTCAAGACTCTACTCGTCCATTGCAGATTTACTCAAGGAAAAAAGCACCAATCTCTCAACCTGTGCAAGTTCAATCACCCAAATCTGCTCCTGGTAATGTCAAGGTAATTACTCAACCCAATGATAACACCAATTAAACCTCTGAACAGAATGATTATGATGTCCCTGTTGCAATTAGAAAAGGAACTCGAACTTGTACCAAACACCATCTTCATCTGTTCATGTCATATACGAATCTTTCTCATAACCACAGGGCTTTTCTTACTAGCCTAAATACAGTCCCTATTACCAAAACTTTATCCGATGCATTAGGAAATGAGAATTGGGAAAATGCTATAAAGGTTGAGATGGAAGCACTTGAAAAAAACAAGACTTGGGACTTGGTGAGACTGCCTAGAGGGAAGAAGTCGGTAAGGTGTAAATGGGTGTTCACAACAAAATATAACTAAGATGGTTCTTTGGAAAGGTATAAGGCAAGATTAGTTGCCAAAGGGTATACACAAACCTACGGCATAGATTATCTTGAGACTTTTGCTCCAGTTGCTAAGATGAATACAGTGAGAAGCCTATTATCAGTGGCTGCAAATTTTGGCTGGAGATTACAGCAATTTGATGTCAAGAACGCCTTCTTACATGGCGATCTTGAGGAGGAGATCTATATGGAGATTCCACCTGGGTTTAACTCAAATAAAAAGGAGGGAATGGTATGTAAGCTTAAAAAGGCTTTGTATGGATTGAAACAATCCCCAAGACCTTGGTTTGGGAGATTTACCAAAGTGATGGTGAGTATGGGATATAAGCAAAGTCAAGGTGACCATACATTGTTTGTAAAGCACTCAGCATCAGGGGGAGTGATAGTATTGTTGGTCTATGTGGATGACATCATAGTAACAAGAGATGACTTGGAAGGAATGGAGAGCTTGAAGAAATAATTAGTAAAGGAATTCGAGATCAAAGAGCTAGGAAAACTAAAGTACTTTCTTGGTATTGAAGTAGCCCACTCTCAACAAGGGATTTTTATATCATAGCAAAAATATGTGTTAGACTTATTGGCTGATACAAGCAAGCTGGGATGTAAGCCAATTGAGACGCCTATGGAGTCAAACCACAAACTTCGTGATGCTCCAGAAGACGTGGCCATGGATAAAGGCTCTTATCAGAGCCTTGTGGGGATGTTAATTTATTTGTCACATACTAGGCCAGATATAGCTTATGCTGTGAGTGTTGTGAGTCAATTCATGCACAATCCCAAAGAATCACATCTCAAAGCTGTGTATAGAATTCTGTAGTACTTGAAGGGTACACCGTGAAGAGGAATTCGGTTTAAAAAAGGAGAAAGATGGACTCTTGAAGCCTACACAGATACGGATTATACAAGATCCATGATTGACAGAAGATCAACCTCGGGCTATTGCACCTTCCTAGGTGGTAACCTCGTTACTTGGAGAAGCAAAAAGCGGCATGTGGTTGCAAGGTCCAGCGCAGAAGCCGAATTTAGAGCAATGGCACTCGGGATATGTGACCAGCTATGGCTAAGGATAATCTTGCGAGATTTGAGAGTCGGATGGGAAGGTCCAATGAAGCTTTACTGTGACAATAAATCAGCCATCAATATTACACACAATCCTGTGCAACATGACTGCACAAAACACATTGAAGTGGACAAGCATTTTATTAAAGAGAAGTTGGATAGTGGTCTCATTTGTACACCTTTTGTTCCAACTGGAGAACAGCTAGCAGACGTGCTTACCAAAGGTTTGCCTGGTACCGTTTTTTAAAGAATAACCAACAAGCTTGGAATTGATGGACATCCATTCACCAACTTGAGGGGAAGTATGGGAAAAAACGATTCTTTTCTTGTATAAGGAAACCGTGTACAGGCTATTAATAGCTAGGGATTTTTTAGTTATGGTAATCCCTGATTTCTAGGGATCAGTTTTGATATGTATCTCCAGGATTAATTAGTTTCCTAGAATAGCATTATTTTGATGTACATATAACAATGTATTCCCAATTCTTTAATAAAAAAAGATTCGATTACCAATTTCAGTAACTCTGTCAGTCATCTTGAACCTATTCAAGCTTTTTAGAACTGGTTCAAGTCATTCAACAAATGCTTCGAATTCCAACTGACCATCTTGAACCGGTTCAGCCTTTCATGAACCGATTCAAGGCTTCAGACAGGTTTTTGGTAACTTTGTTTCCTGTTCTGATTTTCCTTCCTACTTGATTTAGAATACTACCAAAAGTCCTATGCACGAAAATTACCTTTTCCTAATGCATATCTAGGTCTTTGAAAATTCTATATAAACCTTGATATTCATCTAGGTTGATACGGCTTTTGCATTACAACTTCATAATTCTTAAAAGCCTTAGAAAGATATTTTTGCAAAAAATTAAAGTTAATTTTTCAGTCAATCTTTCTAGAACACACACATAAACACAAGAATGAGTTTAGAGTGTTGTTCAAATCTTAATTGTGATCAAAGTCTTGCATCTACAACGATTAGAAAAGCAGATCTATTACTTCTTCTACAAATTCAGATCTTGAAGAACAGAGGTGAAGCGATCACACTTTGAAAGGGCCAAAGCATTCGAGGAGTGTTGTTTGATCTACTAGCAATCCTTCTACAGAGATCAAGAGTAAGCCTGAAGTCAAGAGTTGTTGGACAAGATGTCGCAAAGCCAGAAGATTGTCAGCGATTGGTGTTTGGTAGAACGATAGGGTGTGAACCTGAGTCAAAGTCCATTGTACTTTGTTTCAAACATGGTGGATCGGTTTACTTTGAACTGCACAGTCGACGAGGTTTTCCTACGCAAACAGTTGGTTTATTTTACCAATTAAAGTTTACTCGCTAAAAATTTTGGTATCATCTCTGACTCTATTACTTTGCTTAATTTTATCTTGCATGAGGTTAATTGATTAATTGCTAAAATAAGTAAAGTTAGAAAGACACAGATCTGTTTTCAAAATACAAAACTTTCTATACAAGTAATCTTTCATTGCACAACTCACAAGCAAGAATACTAATTAGATCTATTTGGTTTCTAGAAACTGCATAAAGCATAAATAACCTAACTAGCAGGAATAAGAAAATATAACATAAAGGAAAGCATTTTCCTTTGTACCATGAAAAACAAGGAGAACAATGAGAGAAGGGAGCAATTTTTAATTCTATAGTCATTTTGTTTTCCTTGTTCTCGACTATATTTTATAAATTTTTAATTTCTTTTTCATTTAAGTAGGACAGGAACTGTGAAAGAAATATTTATACTTTTTTGTTTGGTAGGTAATATATTTGCTTGTTTATGTTAATTCAATTTGTATATAAATAACTATCAAATGAACAGGAACATTGTCTACAATAAATTTGGACAACATATGGTTCCTTGATGACTTAACATCCAATGTGTTATATCTTAAAGGAATTGAGGTCTTATCCTTTGGTAGTCCTGACAAGGATATTTTTAGAGAAAAAAAAAAAAAAAAAACACACAATGTTATACAAAAATGCAACTTAACTAGTTGATTGGATCACCAGATTCCAAGACATATTTCAGGAAATGCAGAAATACCAACATCACCCAAGATGTTGATTATTGGTTTTACGATCTCTTAAAAACTCAAATCAATTGTACATCCCAATTTTTTTCACAAACCATATAATCTCATCATGTTTTAATTGATTAATTGCTAAAATAATTAAAGTTAGAAAGACACAGATCTGTTTTCAAAATACAAAACTTTCTATACAAGTTATCTTCCGCTGCACAACTCACAGGCAGGAATACTAATTAGATCTATTTGGTTTCTAGAAACTGCGTAAGGCATAAATAACCTAACTAGCAGGATTAAGAAAATACAACACAAAGGAAAGCATTTTCCTTTGTACCATGAAAAACAAGGAGAACAATGAGAGAAGGGAGCAATTTTTAATTCTAGTCATTTTGTTTTCCTTGTTCTCGACTATATTTTATAAATTTTTAATTTCTTTTTTATTTAAGTAGGACAGGAAGTGTGAAAGAAATATTTATACTTTTTTGTTTGGTAGGTAATATATTTGCTTGTTTATGTTAATTCAATTGTATATAAATAATTATCAAATGAACAGGAACATTGTCTACAATAAATTTGGACAACATATGGTTCCTGGATGACTTAACATCCAATGTGTTATATCTTAAAGGAATTGAGGTCTTATCCTTTGGTAATCCTGGCAAGGATTTTTTAGAGGAAAAAAAAAAAAAAAATTATTATATAAAAATGCAACTTAACTAGTTGATTGGATCACCAGATTCCAAGACATATTTCAGGAAACGCAGAAATACCAACATCACCCAAGATGTTGATTATTGGTTTCACGATATCTTAAAAACTCAATCAATTGTACATTTCAATTTTTTTTCACAAACCATATAAACTCATCATGTTTCAGTTGTTACCATTTATAAGATTTACACTACAAATTTACATATTTGCTGAGGACAAGACTTATAAATGATTAATAGAAAGAAAACGTACCATTCTTCCATAGCCATGAATTACCACCTGAGAAAAACTGTTTATTAAGATTATCCAGAACTTCCCATCAACCCAGACTTTTTGGACAAATATAACTGGATTTGTAGCCCCAAAAATATCACGTGGGAAAATGCAAATATACAGCCGGCCACCTAAAAAAAAAAAATCCATCTAAGAGTCCGCTAGAGATCCACCAAACCAAAAGTCTCAATTAGATCGGATTCTTTTGGTTGATTATGTATCTTTTCAAAAATGTCCTTGAGCTTATCATGTTGAACCATCACTTCCAATATTTTATCTTCTGAATCTGTGGATGAGATTTTTGGCTTATGAACTTTCCCCTCCGTAGAAGAAAATATCAACTCAGATAACCGGTCTTTCTCAGCCTGTCGTACATATATCTCTCCCTCCATCGTGCCGGATGTAATGAGATGGTAAATGTGCACAACTTTCTTCTGACCAATCCTGTATGCCCGGCTTATTGCTTGCCTTTCTACTGATGGATTCCAGACAACATCAAGCAGAACAACTCTTGAAGCCCCTACCAGACTAATCCCTTCAGAACAAGCCTTTGTAGAAGCAAGTAGTACCCTTACTTCACTGTTAGGATCATTAAAGACACTAATTGAAGATTGCCGCTGCTTTACATCACGATGTCCATCAATATACAACACCTCCTTTCCTTCCGTCCAATCAAAATGAGATTTAAGCTGGTTCATTATGAAGGCCAAGGGATCAATATATTGACTAAAAACCAAAACCTTCTCATTTAATGCTCCACTTAGCCGGATGAGTTCCATGAGGAATTTTGTTTTGACTCCATCATCAGGATGGAATTCCAATTCATTCTTAACCACAAACGACTCTTTTGTTTCTGAAAAGCAACACTTCGGCACCAATGAAGGGTGAACAGAGATCAATGACACAAAATATCCCCGTTCAAGTTTCTTTATTCCTTGAAGGTCTTCCAAGAGGGTCTTCTGCAACGGCGTTGGCTTTAAGACAACCACGGAGTGCCTCAACCCGGGGAGCCTTTCTTGAAGTATGTAACCTTTGTGTACATGTACAAATGGGTCAATCATGGCTCTGAGTTCCTTTAGTTTATCATTGGCATCTTTGCCAATGGTACTGGTTAGAGAAACCCATTTCCCTCTCGCCAAACTGCTTTTCTGCCCACTCTTTTTTCTAAGATCTCCATTGCTTTTAGACATGATCTTGTCAGCAAACTTTGGTCTGACCAAACAGAGTGTATTATAGAGCTCACCAAAGTTATTCTGAAAAGGAGTTCCTGAAAGAATGATGCGCCTTTGAGTTTCAATTTTTGACAAAGCTTTCCAGATGAGACTTTGCTCATTGCGAGGAGTGTGCCCCTCATCGAGCACTACAAGACTAGGAAGTTCGAGGAGGATTTTTTTAACCACGTCACCTCTTGCATCAGGTTTAACCTTTCTTTTCTCCTTACCTCCTCTATCAACATCAACACAATCTCCCGCAAGTTTCTCGAACAATCTGTAACTGATACCCAGTATGCTTCTATCCTTTTTCCAGGAGTACAACTTTACCATACGCATAGTTTGTACACTTTGCTCATGTTTTGCAACTTGCTTCAGAAAATTGACAGCTACAGTATTTTCCTGGCCAGAGTACTCTGGCTTGTTCAGATTGTGAAAGGGAATGTCAACATTCCATTTTCGGAACTCTTCTTCCCATGTAAGTAGCATACTGCAAGGAGCAATAATAACTGGTCTGCATGTCGGAAATAGTTCTAGGTACGTTTGTAGAAAGACTATTGTCAAACGCGTTTTTCCAGTCCCAGGAGCATGTGATATAATGCATCCACTCCCACCATCAAAAGCAGGCTGCTTCAACTTCTCAAGGTGAATTCCACCAGCTATATTCTTCCAAATAAATTCAAACCCTTCTTGCTGATGGGGATACATACTGTTTTTAATTCCAGGAATAATGTCCCATACTGTGCCTTTGTCATGAACAGAGCAATTAATACCTGACTGGTTTTCACAACCAGAAATTTGGAACTGAAGCTCATCAAAAATAGTGCTGTCTGATCTGCCAAACTGTCTTGTGTCACGATATCCCCAAGGACACTTACTCTGTATGAATAACCAAGTTCAAGTAGAATCAGATCACTAAGGTTTTACCAAGTAAATAAGTAAAACTTGTAGAAACAGAGACGGGTGAAACGGTTTTCTTTTATATGGTAGGTAATTTTTTTTGGTAGGTCAGAGTTTCTTCTAAACACTAAAATTACCTATTCGAATCAAAATAAATCAACAAACCATATCCCAGACATGGGGCTAGCATCACAAATCATGTTCGGCCGTTCTGCTTCCTCTAATGTCAATACTTCTAAGCAAGTCATTCACATTGACACAAGGAATTATTATGGAAAAACAAACAACCAACTTGGTATTATGACACCTATTCAATGCACTATAAACTATAACCCCCGATACAAGGACAGTTGCATTTTCAAGTCAATGGCCAATATTACTTTTTGCTCCAAAATCAACATGAATATCCAGAACGCTCTTCATGAGGCAAGTTCAAGTGTCTCAAAACATCTAAATATATATATTATGCAAATTTAAAAATTTGGATATCAAATCGAGCCCTGCTCAAATCAACAGACTGTTGGCCGATTTGGGTCATACCTAGCCTGCTCAGCTATAGACAAAGATGTGAAAAAGTAAAATCATCACATGGCTTCTGCAGTAGAAAGAAACCAATTAGTGTATGAGGACTCCTCAACCTACCACCAAGCTAAATAGCCAATCACATGATCACATATCTCATGTTCATTAAGTATAACTCGCCATGATTTGAAGTCAATAATATATTATCAAAGAACATCTGAAAATTTAATGCAATTTATTGCAAAATTAAACAGGCCATATGGAAATAACATAAGAAATCTTAACAAAAATAAATATCAAAAGACAGGTTTGCTCGACTTACAAAGGATGGGAATATAAATTTAATCTCCAGTTTCACAAAAGAGCAGAATTTGCATCTGAGACCAATTTGTTCATCAATAATTAGCTTATGCTCTCCCTGACGGCAAAGGGTAATTGGATCAATTTCAGTCTCAAGGGAGATGTTGTCATTATTACCAACCTGCAGAATATCATGGGGAAGCTGAAGTTAAAACTCAACAAAAAAAAGTCGAAAGATACACATAAACCAATGAAGACCTAAAAAAAAAGAAGATTTGAAAATTTTAAAGAGTCAAGAAGGCCATAAGAGAATTGAAAACCGTACAAGATGGGTTTGATTTGTACAAAAGATTCCCAAAAATGGAGCTGGTGTGAAATTGTGACTTGGTGCAGACGAAAGGAAATAAAGAAGGAAAGCCCAAAAGGAAACTGGTAAAGTAGAAGATATATTTCATGAAAAAAAATTGCTTCCACAATTACTGTAATAAAAGCAGACACATGCACACTGATATTAGGCTACATATATCAAAACTCCACAAAATCTGAAGCAGTGGGCATCCATGAAGTCTCAACAAACACACATATGCACAGACAAGTTAGTGGTATTCTATGTGACAAAGAAATCCCAAACAGGTTATAAGGAAAATTTTATAGGACGGTCATTAGGCCATCTATCTTATAGGGGCAGAGTGTTGGAAGTTAAAAAAGAAACAAACATCGAATTCACGTAATTGAAATGAGGATGTTGAGGTGGATGATAGGAGTGACTAGAAAAGATAGATTTACTAATCAAAGTCTGAGGGAGATTATAGGAATAATGCCTATTAGTGACAAAACATGAGAAACTAAACTTGTATGGACACATAGAACATAGTGTTGACTTTAAGATAAAATCAAATCAAGACTAAGTATACGAAGAAGAAAAAGAGGAGGATGAGAGAAAAAGAGAGAAAGATGGGGAAAGAGAGAAAAAAATGAAAGAATACTTCCATCCTTCTACCACATTCTATTTATACTAATAAGTTTCATAAATTACAAATAAGCCCCAATATTATATAATTGATAACAAATAAACCCCTAACAACACTCTCCCTAAAGTTGGTGCAAAGATATCTATCATGCCCAGCTTGACTAAAATATTTTGTAAGCAAGTCTTGCTCACACCCTTAGTCAAAACATCAGCAACCTGATCATGTGTGTTGACGTATGGAGTACAAATCAACCCAAGACGAAGCTTGTCCTTCATGAAGTGTCGATCGACTTCAATGTGCTTTGTCTTGTCACATTGAACTGGATTGTGGGCAATGCTAATAGCAGCATTATTGTCACAATACAACTTTATTGATTCGCGAACAAGATAACCCAACTCACCCAACATCATTCGTAGCCATAACAACTCACAAACTCCATGTGCTATGGATCTAAACTCAACATCAGCGCTAGATCTAGCTACTACAAACTGTTTCTTGCTTCTCCATGAAATAAGATTACCTCCAACAAATGTGCAACATCCTGAAGTAGATTGTCGATTTGTCACAGACCCTGCCCAATCAGCATCAGTATAGGCTTCAACACATAAGTGGCCATAAAGGCCAAATAATATCCCCTTACCACGTGAACCCTTGAGGTAGCAAGAACATGATGAGCTGCCTCAACTCCTTTAAGGTGAGGTGTACGAGGAGCATGCATAAACTAACTAATCACACTAACAGCGTAGGCAATATCCGTGCGCGTGAGAGATAGGTAAATCAGTTTCCCAACCAATCGCTGAAATCTTCCCACATCATCTAATGGGTCTCCATCTACATCATTAAGCATATGGTTCTGCTCAATGGGAATATCAATAAGTCTAGCTCCAAGCCTACCTATTTCAGCCAACAATTCTAACACATACTTCCGTTGAGAAATGCATACCCCTTTCTTCGATCTGCACACCTTGATGCCAAGAAAGTATCTCGGATTAGTATCTCAATAATTCGAGGTCTTTAACCTCGAACTCTATCCCCAAGAATGACTTCATTCGATGAATCTCTTTTGAATCATTTCAACATATACAATAAGGGCAATGGTGCAACCTTGGTGCTTCTTGACGACGAGAGTATGATATGTCTAACTCTGTGTGCACCCTACTCTTTTTCACAGCAGTGCTGAACCTCTCAAACCAAGCACGTGGCGACTGCTTTAACCTATATAGGCTTTATTTAGCTTGCACACTAAATTCTGACCATTGGCAAGCTTAAACCTTAGTGGCATAGTTGTATACACCTCTTCCTCCAAATCACCATGAAGGAAAGCATTCTTTACATCCAACTGATGTAAAGGTCAATTCAAATTAGATACCAAAGAACTTATCAAAAAAAAAAATTAGATACCAAAGAAAGAAGGACACGTATAGAGTTCATCTTGGCAACTGGAGCAAATGTTTCCAGATAATCAATCCCATAGGCCTAAGTGAAGCACTTTGCAACTAACCGGGCTTTATATCTCTCAATTGTTCCGTCTACATGATATTTTATTGTGTAAACCCATTTGCAGCCTACTGGTTTCTTACCCCTAGGTAATGGAACAATATCCCAGTACCATTCTTCTCAAGGGCCTTCATCTCTTAAAACATGGCTTCCTTCCATGGAGTTTGGCTGAGAGCATCTGAAACATTAGAAGGAACAAATACAGAGGAGATACACGAAGTGAAAGCACGATATGTTGGAGATAAGGCATCATTGGATACAAACTCAGATATGGCATGTTTTGTACAACTACAAACACCCTTACGATAGGCAATAGGGACATCAAGAACACCAAGAATTCTATTGGGAAAATAATAAGGAGTATCAATGTCAACTGAGGAATTAACTGGATTGAGGGAGACTTCTTGGTCCTCAGGTGAGTCAATGACTTGTTTTGACCTCCAAGTGCAGACAATTGGCTGCTTTCCCTACTGCAAATCATTAGTGTTAGGAGGACTAGACGTAGGCACCTCAGTAAGAAGCTCCCATGAATGGGAACCTCCCCCTGAATGGGAATAGGCAAAGGAAAGGAGCATTCCCTCTTAATGGACGATAGATTCTCTACTTGTATAGTAGTCTCCCCTTGTAGAGAATCCCAAGTAATGAAAAAAAAAGGAACAGATTCAAAGAATGTAACATCTATGGAGACGAAGCAACGACGAGCGGTAGGGTTATAACACCAATACCCTTTTTGAGTAGTGAAGTATCCAAGAAAGACGCATCGGATTGCCTTAGGGTCCATTTTGTCCTTGTGATGATGAATGTGAAGATAACAAACACAACCAAACACTTCAGAGGGACAGTAAACAAGGCAGTGTTATGGTGTAAGACAGAGAAGGGGGATTGATAGCCAAGAACCTTAGAAGGCATGCGATTGATAAAGTATGTAGCTGTTAAGGTTGCATCAACCTAATAACTTTTAGGCACTCCCATCCCAATTAGAAGAGAACGGGTAACCTCTGACGATGATTTCTTTTAGCTACACCATTCTGTTGTGGTGTATCGACACAAGAGGTTTGATGGAAAATCCCGTTATTAGCAAAAAAGGAGGCAAGACCACCACACATAAACTCTCTTCCATTATCAGATCAAAGGATTTTGAGGGGACAACCAAACTGAGTACATACCATCCTATGAAAGGTTTTAGAAATGGAATGAACTTCATGTTTGGTTTTCATAAGATAAAGCCAAGTATATCGACTAAAGTCATCAACAAACACAACAAAGTAACGAAAACTAAGTAATGAAGTAGTAGATTCAGGACCCTACATATCATAATGAACAAGCTGTAAAAGAGTTGTACTTTTATTAATACTAGTAGGATAAGAAACACGACATTGTTTGGCAAGAACACGTGTTTCACAATTTAACTTAAAATATTCAACAAAAGCAAACTGGGAAGCATATCCTTCAAAATAGGAAAAGGTAAATGACCTAGTCTATTATGCCATCGCATTAATAGATCTTTATTGATATTACTATTCCTAACACTAGATTGATTTGCAACATAATAAGAATTTGGCCTCGCGTTCAGCAAATATAAGCCATTGTCCTCAAGTCCACTTCCAATCGTCTTCCCCGTGTCCAAGTCTTGAAACACACAGTGAGATGGAAAAAAGGTTACACTATAATTCAAGCCTTTTGTAATGTGACTGCTAGAAAACTTTGGGACATGAAGAACATGTCGGGTTTATGGCTCAAAATTGTGTACATAAATTAATTTCCTTTTCCGTTTTGGAATGTTAAAATTTGTGAAGGAAATTTGTCTCATTAAGTTTCTATTTTAGAGTTGGGCTTTATATGGTAACTCCTTGTAAGCAAGTTGGGGAATACTTGTCCAACAAGGAATTGGTTTTGAAGACTATAAATAGAGATGGGTGTGGGAGGTTTAGAGAGAGAGAGAAGAAAAAAGATGTAAGGGGTTTAAGGGTGAGTGTTGTGAGGAGAGAAGAGAGTATATGTAATTCCCGAGTATATACATGTAGCCTTAAAAGAGATGATGAGTGAGTGAGTGGGGTTTTGACATGTGGCTGTATATTCTCTTCCTTGATTCATAATAATGAAATCTCTCTCCCCCATGGACGTAACCCTAGAGTTGGGTAACCATGTAAAATATTGTGTTGTGTGTGGATGTGTATGATTGTTATCTCCACATATGTTTGTGTTAATGTGATGTGATAATGTTTTTGCATGTGTGATGAAGGACAGTTTAACTCTCAACAATAGTCCACCATTGAGTGGGTTGGAGGGAGTTAATTTTCCCCAACAAGTGTTATTGGGTTCAGAGCCTGTGATTGGTCCTGAAGATCAGAACATAAAATTGGTGTGAAGTTTGTCAGAGCAAAAGGCTAATCATGATGTGCTATGGAGCTTCAATCAAAGTTGATGATGACATGAAAATTATAGAGGGTGTGAAGACACAGGCCATGAGGAATAAGTCTTGGTACAAGTAGGAGGATGTTCGTTTTCAAGATGGGGCGAAGGTGATAGAGGTGAAGCCCACAAGGAACAAGTTTTGGGGACAAGCCAAAGAAGGTGCTAGTTCTCAAGATGGGGTACAGGTGTGAAGAATAATGGGGTTTGCTTTAAGCCTGATAAAGAGCAAAGGGGAATATAAAGAGTGAAGAGGAGAGGTTTGTTGCTTTGAATCAGAAAAGCAATTGATGAAGATAAGTTAAAAACTAGTGGGTTTCCATGCGTGAGCAATTTAACACCAATGGGGATGATGGATAGAGTTTTGTTCAAGGTGGAGCGATCTTCATTCGCGGTGGAGCTATAGAGGAGCGTGTGAAGACCGATTTTGAGCCAAGGTGGAGATTGTTGGGTTTGTGGCTAAAAATTGTGTACAGAAATTAATTTCCTTTTTCGTTATGGAATGTTGAAACTTGTGAAAGAAATTGTGTCTCATTAAGTTTCTATTTTAGAGTTGGGATTGATATGGTAACTCCTTATAGGCAAGTTAAGGAATACTTGTCCAACAAGGAATTGGTTTTGAAGACTCTATAAATAGAGATGGGTGTGGGAGGTTTAGAGAAAGAGAAGAAAAAAAAAAAATGTGAGGGATTTAAGGGTGAGTGTTATGAGGAGAGGGGAGAGTATATGTAAATCCCGAGTGTATATATGTAGCCTCAAAAGATACGATGAGTGGGTGAGTGGGGTTTTGACATGTGGTTGTATATTCTCTTCCTTGATTCATAATAGTGAAATCTCTCTCCCCCGTGGAAGTAACCCTAGAGCTAGGTGAACCATGTAAAATATTGTGTTGTGCGTGGATGTGTATAATTGTTATCTTCATATATGTTTTTGTTGATGTGATGTGATAATACTTTCGCGTGTGTGATGGAGGGATTTAACTCTTAACAATCAGTGGGTTGGAGGGAGTTAATTTTCCCCAACAGAACAGAGGATAAGGTAAGATTAGGGGAGGCACAAACAGTGTCCTTCCTCGCAATGGAGGTGAAGTTGTCATCAGCCACTCAAACCTTATCCTTACCAGAATATAAACTGTATGAAGAAAAATCAGATGTCATACCAACCATGTGATCAGTGGCTCCTGAATCAATAATCCAGGGTGGCCCACCAGATAGTGTGGAAACCTGAGTGCCGAATGAGAGGAACCTGTCTAAGAGAAGATAAGAGGTGGAAATGGAGGCATGTTGTGCTAGTAGATGTCGGAGAGTATCAAGTTCAGCCCCGAACAAAGAACTCGGTGGCCCTGAGGAGGCATGACCAGTAGAAGCAATCTCACGCTCTACAGTATGTGACATAGATAACCCCCTAAATGGACCAGGCCTTGGCCTATCATTCGCATGAGCAAGAGCTAGAGTAGGGCGACTGTGTAGATTCCAGCATATTTCCCTAGTGTAGCGTGTATGCCCACATTGATCACACCTCAACTTGCTCTTGTCATCCTGCTTCCCTCCTTTTGAAGGATTGGGTTCGTTTGATTGTTGTGTGGCAAGAGCAGACCTCTCAGACAATGGTACTTCTAGCTCAAGCTTAGTGTATACAGGTGCAGACATAGACATACCCTTCATTCTACTCTCCTCAGCCTGGATATATGAAAACACATCTCTAACAGAAGTAGGGGCTAGATACCTGCCTAATACTTGCACCCTAGCATGCTTGTATCTCAGATGCAAACTACCCAAGAACTCATAGATTCAATTCCTTTCTACCATAGCATGAAATGCTTTAACATCAGATGCACACACAAATATGTAGTCTTGGTAGTGATCTAACTCTTCCCATTTACCACGTAGAGTGTGGTAATATATAGCAAGAGTTTGGTCTTCCTGCTTGAATCTTAAAATCTGTTGTTGAAGTTCATACAATTTTGCAAAATTACCAACCGAGGAATACGTCTCTTCCACAGCCATCCATACTCTTTAGTTGTTTTCACAAAGAGAAACCCTCTGCTGATGTGTGGCTGTATTGACTGCAACAACAACATCATAAATAGTGCATTATTTGCACTTCACTCGTTGAATTCCGAATCACTCTTGGAGGGATACGTGATAGTCCCTTCGATATGATCGATCATCCTACGACCAGTGATATGCATATGAGTAGATTGAGCCCACTCCATATAGTTTGTCCCATCCAGCCTAACAGTGGTAATACAAAGGCCTGGATGGTGATCGCTACTACCTCCCAACACTAGAGTCAGACTAGGAGAAGACCCAACTTCTTTTGAAGTCACCTTTGAGCCAGACATTTTATCAAAAAAATTTTGGGTATACAATCCTCAGAAACAAAAGTAGCAACAAAATACGTAGAGAACCACCTCTCTAACACACAAACTTCAACTAGAAAGATTACTGTCTTTTGAGATGCATAAAAAAGCCACCACGCAGTCACCACACAAACCTTAGGAAGCAACAAAGTAGACCATACCAAAATTGCGAACAACGAAGAAAAAGTCATCGTTGCATAACCACGCAAACACGTAAAAAACACCAATCGAGACTACAACATAACAAAAAGAGTCCAAATTTTTTTTTTCGAGGCCTTCCCTGAACCCCAAGCAAGGCCACGCTGCCCCTGCAACCCTCAGCCAACTCAGTACAGAGTTAAATCTGCGGTACGTGTGGATGTGATTAACACTACTTCCATGCAAACAAATCCCATCTTGGAATCTCTTCAAAACCCTTCACACCCACTAGGGTTTACACAAACTTGCCCTAAGGTTTCAACTACACACCCAGAGTTTTACAAACCATGCTCTGATACCATGTTGACTTTAAGATATAAACAAACCAAGAGTAACGTATAAGAAGAAATAGAAAAAGAGAACGAATGAAAGAATACTTTCATCCTTCCACCGCATTCTATTTATACTAACAAGTTTCAGAAATTACATATAAGCCCTAAAATTATATAAGTAATAACAAATAAGCCCCTAACAACACATAAACCTATTGATGCACTCGTAAGAAGGAAAGTGTAGTTTGCATAAAAGGTACGAGAAAGCGAGGCCTTACAAAATTAACATGGAATGAAGTAATTAAAATAACTTTAAAAATTAAATATTAGAGAAGACATGGTTTATGATAGAATGGAATAGATAAATAGAATTCAAGAGGCCGACCCCATTCATTTGGGGCAAAGGCAAGGATGATGATGTCATTAATTTAGTCCAACCTAATCCAATCCAACTAGTAATATGATCATCCATTTTCCCTTGTTCTTGTATTACTGATCCTAAGTATCGAAAATGAGTGACACTATGGTCTTGGATTGCTATTATTGTATAATTACTTTCCGATTCTTTATTGAATTTACATTCCATATATTATGTTTTAGTCTTACTAATTTTTAAACCTTTTTTTTGTAGCGCATTTAGCCAAAGTTTCTAAATTTATACTCAATCCTACTTTAGAAGTAGTATAAATATAAAAAGAAGATAAAGGAGAGAATTGCGTAAAGGCTTGAATGATATGAATTACTCATTCACAGCTCTAGTATTTATAGATAAAATGTGCACATGCTCATATTACAAGAAAGGAAACTAAATCAAATCAAAATCAAATCACAACTTATTATAAAGCACATTCTATAGCATAGTCAAATCTCTGCTATTATGGTAAGTCATACCATAAATCGTGGTATTATATATGCTATTATATGCATAGTCAAATCTCTTCTATTATGGTAAGTCATACCATAAATCGTGGTATCATATATGCTAACACTCCCCCTCAAGTTGGTGCGTGGATATCTGAAACGCCTAACTTGGACAATACATTCTCAAACACAATCTTGCTGACGCCCTTTGTAAGAATGTCCGCAAGCTGCTGAGAGCTTATGACAAATGGAGTGCAAATTTGACCAGAGATGATCTTCTCTCGAGTGAAGTGACAGTCCACCTCTATATGCTTAGTCCTGTCATGCTGAACGGGATTTGCTGCTATGCTAATGGCAGACTTGTTGTCACAGTAGAGTGAGAATGGAAGAGACACTGGAAGGCACAAGTCTGTCATCAAGGTTTTCAGCCAAAGCAACTCACCTACCCCAAGAGCCATAACCCTATACTCTGCCTCTGCACTAGATCGAGAGACAACATCCTACTTCTTACTGTGCCAAGTAACCAAGTTACCACCAATAGTGGTACAATACCCTGAAGTAGACCTCCTATCTGAAATTGATCCTGCATAATCAGCATCTGTCCAAGCCTCAACACGTAAGTGACCATGATTGGCAAACAAAATACCACGGCCTGGACACCCTTTTAAGTAGCGAAGGATCCGAATAGCTGCATCAAGGTGTGGGGCACGAGGAGAGTGCATGAATTGACTCACTACACTCACGGCATAAGCAATGTCAGGTCGAGTCATAGATAAATAGATGAGCTTCCCCATAAGTCGTTGATACTGACCAATATCTAACAACAACTCCCCTCAGAATCAGCCAACCGATGATTCTGCTCAATCGGAGTATCAGCAGGACGAGCGCCAAGCTGACCAGAAGCAGAAAGCAAGTCAAGAACATACTTGCGTTCAGAGATGATAATGCCAGTCTTGGAGCGAGCCACCTCAATGCCCAAGAAGTACCGTAGGGGACCAAGATCCTTAATCTCAAACTGACGGCCAAGATAGCTCTTAACCTCATTAATTCCAGTAGTACCATCGCCGGTAAGAATAATATCATCAACATACACAATGAGAGCAACTGTCTTACTGCCTGAATGACGTAAAAACAAGGTATGATCAGCTGCACTTTGATGGAAACCAAACTTGAGCCTAGCAGTGCCAAAGCGATCAAACCAAACTCGAGGAGACTGCTTGAGGCCATACAGAGAACGACGAAGACGACATATCATACCAGAATGAGCAGGAGAACGAAAGCCCGGAGGAGGAACCATGTACACCTCCTCCTGCAAATCACCATTAAGAAAGGCATTCTTGACACCTAACTGAAATAGAGGCCAAGATCGAATTGCAGCAACGGAAAAATAATACACGGATGGTATTCATCTTGGCAACAGGGGCAAAAGTCTCCTGATAATCTATGCCATAAGTCTGAGCATAACCCTTGGCAACCAATCGGGCCTTGTAACAAGCAACTGACCCATCTGGATTATGCTTAACTGTAAACACCCAACGACAACCCACAGCCTTTCGTCCAATAGGAAGCGGAACCATGTCCCAAGTCTGATTTTTCTCAAGTGCTTGTAGTTCTTCTGTCATAGCATCACGCCATTGAGGTTGTGTTAGTGCATCTGCAACACTAGAAGGAACAGGAACCGAGGCAATAGAAACAAGAAAACTCCGATAGGAGGGTGAGAGAGCATAATCAGAAACAAAATTAGAAATAGGGTAAGTACAAGAACGTTTACCCTTTTGAAGAGCAATGGGGCGATCATCAAGCGAAACAATAGTTTGAGAAGGCGGAGCTGGTGCCGAAGGAACAGGGCAGTCGATTGTGAGAGTAGAAGCTTGTACCTGTTGTCTCCGACTATAAACCTGTGAAAAAGGAACAATTCCCCCTGCTGGAGGGGTATCACAAAGAGGAATCATAGAAGAAGAAACAGGTAATGGTACAGGAGTTGAAGACGGAAGAAGGTGATCATCCATTATATTCAATGGGAACCATTCACTCTGAGAATCAACTGAACCACTATAGTATGGTGTATGTTCAAAGAAAGAAACATCCATGGATATAAACCGCCGATGACTGGGAGGATGGTAACACCTATAACCTTTTTGAGAGTGAGAATAGCCCAAAAACACACACTTCAAAGCCTTGGGGTCAAGTTTTGTACGAGTTTGCCCCAACTGCTGAGCAAAGCACACACACCCGAAGACTTGCGAAGGAATAAAAAAAAAAGAGATGAATTGGGATGTTAGATTGAGAGTAGGGCTGCAAAGTTAAGAATCCTAGAAGGAGTCCTATTGATGATGTAAACAGCGGTAAGAACTGCATCTCCCCAAAAAGACTGGGGAACATTCATGCCAATGCAGATTGCTCTGGCTAAGTCAAGGATGTGGCAATTCTTTCTCTCATAACGACCATTTTGTTGAGGAGTTCTAACATTAGCCATCTGATGCTCAATCCCAAATTCTGTACATAACCGTTGTAACTCCCCATAAGCGTACTCTGTACCCTGGTCAGATCGGAATTTTTTAATGGTACGACCATATTGAGTCTGAACCATTGTCATAAAATTTTTAAAAATGGTGTATACCTCATTTTTGGTTTTCATAAGATAAACCCAAGTAACACGACTATGATCATCAATGAACAACACGAAATATCGAAATCCAAGACTAAAAGTAACTGGGCAAGGACCCCACACATCTGAATGAACAAGATCAAAAGGCGTTAAAGCAGATTTATTACTACTAGCAAGATAATTGGAACGAACATGTTTAGCCATACGACATGTTTCACAGGATAAATCTAACCCTGCCACGTTACAAAATAAGGAAGGAAATAAATGTTTCAAATAACCAAAAGAAATATGTCCTAAACACATGTGCCAACGCATAAGCTGGGCTTTATTAGATGAAACAATATTAGAAAATGAAGCTGAATGTGCTTGAGGTGACAAAGGAGCATCCAATAGGTATAAACCGTCCACTTCACGCCCACTGCCAATCGTCCGTTTCAACACCAGATCTTGAAAAATACAATGAGAGGGAAAGAATGTTACACTACAATTTAATTGTTTGGTAACGCTACTAACAAAAATAAGATTTGTAGTCAACTTTGGAATATGAAGTGTATTTGACAAAGTTAATAAGGAGTAACTGATATGTGACCCTTCCCAGCAATGGAAGATGGAGAGCCATCCGCAAGGCGGACCTTGCGTTGGCCAGAGCAGATACTATAAGGTTGGAAGAGTGAGGACATACCAGTCATATTGTCTGAAGCACCA